TTCAGGAAAAAAAACCCCATTGAGATCACTTACAAACAACTCGTTATCTCTGTGACCTTGGACTTGTTATTTAACTTTCCATGCCTTAGTTTCCTCATCCCTACAATGAGGGAAAATAGGAATAACTATTTTATGGGGCTTCGGTTTGAGTTAAATGAAGTACATAGGTCAATATTTTTATATTGACAGATTATGAAAGACGAAGTGAAATGTACAACATTGTAATGAGAAATTAGGCAGATAGCTGAGAAAAAGCAAATGCTTCTGTGCTTTCTCCAGTGATTATTTCATTAACAATCACTTGCGTTGGCAACTCGTTGGAGTCTTTATCCTAGCAATTCTGTTGGTCTGAACAATGGGTGTCCTCACTCCAGCCCGTTACTCAGGCATCCTTATTGAACTATCTTCTCTGCACAGTTGCCATGAGGTGGCACTATGGGGAAAGGGATGGTCAAGTTTGCTTTTCTCCCCCTTATTGCTGTTCCTTTCGTCCAAAAGCAAATTGGAACCATTTTTATTTTATTTTATATTATTATTTTAAGTTTTGTGCTTTTTAAATATTCAAGGACTAAAGCCATAAGAATACATTTAAGGGAAAAGGAAATGCATATGAAGTTTAAGATACATTTTTCATAGTTTGAATGGCCTTTAAATGATTAGAAAACTGAGGCTAAGAGGAAAAACTGTATTTTTTATTTCTATTAGTATTCATCAGTTTAGAGCTAACCTTGCAGATACATTTTAGATGCTAAGATATGTAGTAAATAAGTTGATTTGAAAACTTAGTGACCTTTGTGGTATAAATTATTCATGCCATCATAAATAGTACATATTTCTTGCATTATATATATATATATATTATCATAGTTATGGTATTTTTACATTTGTGTTATACAAAGGAGAAGGATCTAGTTGTTTCTTGTTTCCCCTCATTTTGTTTTTTGTTAACTCTTGTGTTAACTCTTCAAGTAATGGATGGAAGAATGACTTTCAGTGTCTTCCAAGGAATAACTTAGTAGGTTTCAGGCACTGGGAGAAAAGGGAGGCAACATAGTTTAGTGGAGTAAGACAAACTTCTGTTCAGATTCCATCCTGCACTTTCCGTCAGGTCAGCAGAGACTCTGATTTTACTTATGTATGTAAACCATGCAGCATGGAGAATGGAGGGAGCTTCATCAAGCCTGGCTTCCCATCCTCTGTCCTCAAGCTTCTTAAAAAAAGGAAATTAATGAGATATAGAGTAATGGGTAATACCAGATACTAAAAATGTGTTGGTGTTTTTCGGAGTGGAATCGCTGCGGAATCCTGAATAAAGATGTTTTTGTGTTGTTCATTCTCTAAGATCTGTATTTCAGAGTGTTTTATTAAAATTTTATTTGTTAAAATCAGTCTTGGATTTTTACTGGCACTGTCCTTGTTAGTCAGTGATGGTAGAGAGATACGGTGACTGCATGGGTCTAGCAGGGTTTCCAAGCACCTGCCCGGGGATCTGCCGTAGGGTCATGGCTCTTGGCTTAACTGAACAGAAAAGGAATAATAAATAAGTTGGGTCCCATGGCAGAGCCAGTATATGGTTCTGGACTAGTGAGGAAGACTATGAAGAGATGCAAAGTGTTCACAGAGACCTATGTTCAGGTAATTTTAATGTGTTTTTTTGCAGTAAAAATTCAAAAGTTGATGTAAAATTCAAAATATTTATATATAAATTCTTGGCTAATCTTCCAGCTCATATGTAGTCTCTCTGGAATTCCTAACTCTTTTATAGCTCTTTTTGGCTTTCCTCCTATAGCCATTAAGAATACAGCAAATATGCTTTTGGTCTTCCTTAGTTTCAGTTTACATTTTAATGATTTGAATGTTTTGATATATGCTTGATGTGTGTCTCCCACTAATAAGAATGGACAGAGTCATATCCTATATGCTGGGATTTTCTGTCATAGAAAAACTGGACTCACAGCTGATCCTGCTAGCTTATTACTTTCCTAATAATTATTATAACTCAGTATCAACTATTTTAAAACACAAATCATCACTTTTATCAAAACTTCTTTAATATTGCAGTGACTTACATCATCATTAAACAGAAGACCAATTCATTTGCTTTCCCAGGGGTATATTTTTCAGTTTTCAACTAATTTGTTTGTAGGATTCACTAGGACATTATACTGTTTTATGGGGGTGATATTTTTATTTTTTCAGTTGCCTGGGTGGTGTCTTCTAAAAATGTCCAGACTAAAGGTTTTTATCAAATCTATATTAAATTCAGTCACTTGTGTGTGTGTGTGTGTGTGTGTGTGTGTGCGCATGTGCACATGTCTGGAGAAAACTCTACATTGGTTTCTGAGGAAAACAATGGCCTGGCTTTAGTTCACCTTTCAACAGAAGTGGGGCTATCCATAGAGGCAAAAGACTTAGGCAGACTTTAAAATATCATGGTGCAATTTCCAAAGCATTTGTTGTGTTGCTTCTTAAAGCATGTGGATTTGACATCAGCAACATGAAATATCCATAGTCATGCATGCGTGTGTGTGTGTGTGTGTGTACAAAGATGTTGTGTGTAAGGGGGCACAATTCACATGGTACACAGATGCTAACTTACACGGGAGCTTGAGGTGGAAGCTGAGATTCCAGGGCTTCTAGATGGAGGAGAGATCCCCTTCCTATGTAAATCCATAATGACCCCCATGGCTTTGTGCACTCGGCAGAGCAGGCACCAACAGCTAAACGCACGTGCTGTGGCTGCGCTTCATTCTCAAACCACTCTGGGGGTCTCCAAGGCACTTCTCTAGCTCCTCACAGCTCCAACTCTGAATGTGAGACTGTTTCTTCACCTAGAGGATAAGAAGGAGAGTGGAGAGTATGCTTCCTGGTGGTCTTGTGTGTGTCTATAAGTCTTCATGTGTGCAAGGGGGGTGAAGTGTCTCTGTGTTTGCACACAGGTGAGGTTGCTGCCCTGTGGGCCGTGAAAAAGATCTCCATAGCTAGAGCAATTCAGGTTGTGTAATAATATACTAACTTTAAAAACGTTTTTACTTTTTTCCCGATTCACACAAAGATACCATATGAGCTAATAATAGCCTTGGAGTAAACTAAAATGAATATCCACATTGCCAAACCTTTAGTAAAGCCATAATTGTGGTAAACCATACTCTTGCATGTTTGCTACAAAGAAATGTGACCAGTTCAATTCTCTAGGCCAGAGGTTTTCGAATTGTGTCTAGTAATGTCCCAAAGGTAGGCCCTTGTGGACAAAGTCAAGCCAGAGAGCCCTATTTTGTTTCTACCAGAGCACTCCTGTTTTGTGCTTCTCGATAGTGGTATGCAATATAGAAGTTTGAAGAAAAACTTTTGGTTATTTATCCAAGTATTACCTTCATCTCTGTATCCAGGCAGGCCATCAGAGAGCTGTATACTTGAACTTCATTGCTTGACTCCTTGTAGAACCATTTTTACTGATTTGTACTTTGCCACTGCACCCATGGAGTATTCTAGGAGTGCCTCGAGGCTCCACTATATACAGAATTCCTTTATCTGTTTTATTAATGAACATCATCTATATTTATGAAGACTCTGGGTGTATAGTTCATCAGCACTTTTGAACAGGGTCATAGATTCTTCTAAAATAGTAAAAATAAAAAAGAATATATAATTTACTCCTATATACATTATGGCTATTATAGTAGTTACTTTTTCCCTTTGGTCATTAGGAAACTCACGGTTAGATTTGTTCCCCTCTTCTAGCATGTCTGTGGCTACATACTTAAGGGTAATAAATTCTACTTTTGATATTGTTTTATAAGTCAGTCATTTTATTTCTTTTTACTTATGTCTCTTGATGTATTTTTTTCTAATACATGTATTGTGGAAAGTTATTTTAGACTGACTCAGGTAGAATCTTCTTATTATCATTTGGAACACTCTCCTTGGATATGTTGTAAGCACATCAGACTTAATATTTTGTAAAGGGAATTATTTGCGTTGTTCTCTTCAAATTTGCCCCTCTTCCTATTTCTCATCCTTGGTAAAGAGGTCCCATGAGTCCAGTCATCTAAGTTGGCAGCCTTGCTGCTGTTTTTTATCTTCCCTCTCTCAGATCCCATCCAAATCCATTTGATCCAGCCTCAGCACTACCTTTCAAATTTCCCTTGATTCATCAATACTTGCCTAGACTAGTTCACTAGTTCCCTAACTGACCTCAAATTTACTGGTATCATCCCTCAATAATCCACTATGCACACGGATGTCAGTTATTTAAAAGTCATTTTCTCTCGTATAATTCTTATTGCTGTTTACAGAGTGAAGCCACATTGCTCACACAACATTCAAGGCTGTTTATAATTTGCTCCCCAGCCTACGTTCTAAATCTCACCTCTGTCCGTTCCTCCCTCACCTTTTGTGTCTTTCACAGCAGCCATCAGACCACTTGCCAGTCCCCAAACACAAAATGCATTTCAGCACCTCATTTTTTGGCAAAAAAAATGCCCTTCCTGGAACCTTGAAGCCCTTGTATTTCCCTAAGTCTCTTCTCAGATATTTTATGTGAGATTTCCCTCTTTTTTGTGACTACAGAAGGATTCATTGCCTCCTTCTCAATCTTTCCATCTCACTTTCTTAATCCTAGTTAGAGCAGTCCTCACCCTATTTAGACTTTGTTGTGTATGTGTATCTTTCTCCCCAAATCGTGAGCTTCTCCAGGAGTTTGGCTGGATAGAAAGTGAAATATACCAGGTATCTTCCAGCCCTCCTTCTAAAAATCAAAGTAAAATGAATGAGGGACTTTTGAGTTGCTAGAATTGATAATGCCTTCACTGGGTAAGGATTGAAAACATGGCTATTGTATTATATGTACTCTGTTTATGATAATTGAAAATTTGTAATGCCATTATGATAAAAGTTCTAGCAGTCAAAGTGAGTTTTTATAACTTTTGTATGGAAGAAACATATCTGATTTTCTTTTTTCTTTTAGGAATAGGCAAGTCAAGAGGCTGGAAATCTGAAGAATGTTTCCAAAGGACAATTTGGCTGTCACTTGCTGGGTATGGAGGAGGATGAGGAAGCTTTTTGTATTCCTTTGTCTCCTGCTGTCCCATGCAGCTCATTTGGAAGGCAAAAAGGATAATCGGTTCATCTGGAAACCAGGTAGGAATGTCCTGGCTGTTCCCATTTTCATTAATGAGAAGAATATTCTTTCCATGCTTGTTCTTATTTGTGGAGTAGGAGGAAATATCCAGAAAGGAAAAATAAATTTTTCTTCATTGTAATAACACTTATATTTGATTTTTATTCCTGCATTATTGTCACCTCCATCCAGGATACTTGTTATCCTTCTGAATTTTTGTGCTGCTGTCAATTAAAGATAAGATTTCCAGTTATATCTGCTTCTCCTTTGTCAACTATATCACCACTGTGCAGCACACTTAAAGCAAAAATGACATCGTAATTTAGTTGATATCCTCTGCAAAGACTGCTATGGACCAGCTCTGTATGTCCCTTTCTTTTAGGGTACAAACTGGATGGCTATTTATTATTGAATACTTTCTAATAAACCTGTATATCTAGGTTTGAGAGCATGAAAAATTATTCAGACAACTTGGCTCATTGGTTGTGGCTATAAAGTCACCTTAATGTGTTTTGTATATAACTATATTAATAAGTTGAATTGAGTTTTTATATAACTTATGTCTTTCTCTAAATACTTCCTTAATTTGGCTGTAGAAAAGATCTGTTGAATTTAATTTCAAAAGCTAATAATTCATTAACTAAAATTATGAAGCCCAGATATCTTGGTTCTTTGTATCACTGATGTTTTTCTTTGCTCTAGATTTTAATTTTCTCAAAGTTCCGCAATTAGATCATTTAAAAAATTTATTAGTGTTTCAAGAGTCCATTCTTGCAAATACAGATAACTTATATACTTAATATCTTGGAATGGGAAAATGTGATGTTGTAGAAGATGTATGATCCTCAAAGAGTTTTCATTTTTGTCTCATCATCTATAAATTAAGTAGACTGCAAATGTATTGTGTCATCATGAAAATATGTATAAAAGAGATATTTATAATATTTAAATGACTTTGCAAAAATGAAAGTAAATTATGCTTTAAAGTATATTAAGTAAAAAACCCAGCACCATTAGAGATACAGTCTGGAGGAAATTTAATTGCATTAAAGCCACTATAAGTTAATTTAATTGTGGGCTATATTATCACATTAGTGATTTGCATTTTTTACCATGGTAGTTTTAGGAAGCTTTGGAAATAGTTCTAAAACTCAGTATTGCATTTTTATAAATCAGACTATTTTATTTTAATCACAAAAGACTAAATATTTTATTAAATTTAAATAAGCACATTTATATGACTGTACTCTTGTCTAAAGTTTTCAAAAAAGCACAATTAAAGTGGAAAGTAGTAAATCTGAAACACAAAATTGTGAACCCTGAGAAATAAAAGACACCTACTAAGAAGGGCATCTGGTTGCTAACTCAGCTCACATTTTATAAAACAGCCTAGCAGCCATTTCTGCATACAGCCCTCTCATGTAAACTGCACTTCATGGAGAAGCCAACACTGAACTGCTTGCTGCTGCACTGAGCTGCCTGTCTCTGTACTGAATTGCCTGCCTTTGCACAGAACTATCTTCCTGCACTGTTTCTGCCATCTGAACCAGACATTATAGAGTTCCTGGAATCCTATTTCAACCAATAAGACTGAGGTTTTCCCCATCCACATGGAACTGTGCAGCTCTGGCCAATCAGAGTGGGCTGTTCTGACCAGTCAAGACAGTGACTTTTGGACTAATCAAACTGTGAGGATTTGGAGTCCTCACTTTGTGTGTGGATGGACCAATCATGAACCAGAGTTGAGGACTCCTGTCCATATAAGCCTGCTTTCCTTTGGCTCAGAGAGTGCACTTTCCCTTTAAACCAGAGACTAGAGACTGCATCTTCCTGGCTGAGCTGAAACACCGAAGACGTCTCACCAGAGAAGAGTGTAATGGAGTGGAGCAGGCCAACACAATGCAAAGCAAACCAGCAAGGAGCCCAGAAGAGTAGACCAGACCATTGAGAGGCAGAGCAGATCTGTTTAGCCAGAGAGGGGCCTGGCTCCAGGACCACCTGACCCCAGAATTGTTCTACAGCCATGCTGTTTTCACAGCCATGCTGTACCGTACTTGACCTGTTTTACATTGAGTAAAGTTTCTTACTTCACTGCACCCCAAACTGGGGATTCCAGTTAACACTGAATTGGTGCCAACTACCATCGATTGACGAAGGAGGTGTTTTAAGGAAATGGACTTATTTTGAATAAAATTTTAAAAGTCTGCTTTTCTAAAAGTGGGTCAATGGAACGAAGTGTTACAAACCTATTCTCATACTCTACAGAGGATGAACACTTTGATAACTGTCAAACTTAAGCTTCAGAATGAGAGTCCTTCCCCTCAGCCACATTGCATTGTTCAAAATCAACACAGATGTCATCACTCTCACTTTCATGGCATTCCTTGCTTCTTTCCCTCCTTAATGTGTCTTATAAAATTCAAAACAAAAGCTCAGACCTATCTGTGTATGTGAATCACCCAAAGTACACACACAAATATTAGTATTATCATTAATTAGGGTTCCGCAAAAAAATAAATGATACATTCAAAGTAGGCAATTGAGAAGAGTTTAATCAACAGATTATTTACAATTGTGGGAAAGTGTGAGCAGGTTTTAAGAACGGCTACAAAGAATTGTGGAGTGCTCATGGGCTAGTATTAATCTTTATGATTTCTGGGTCTACAGAGGCAAAGAAAGAAAGCGGTTGCTAGAATTTGGGGAGAAAACTTGAAGGAGGGGTTCCCAGACACATTCTGTGGCCTTTAGAGGTATTTAACCAACTTGCAGTAAAAGTAGGATAGAGGCCACAGGAATGAACAACCTTTGAACTCAACACCTTCTGCCAGGGTTCCCATTGGCTTAATCCAACCAGAAGCCACAGGGCAAGGGAGCCCATTGATGTGTCCATATAGACAGCCTCCCAGGCAGGGAGCATGGTGGAGAATGGTTGGGAATATGGATATAGAAATACCAAATGCATATCTACATATATGTGCATACTTACATAAACTTTGCTTCATACAATCAGAATCATGCTCTGCATCCTCTTTTGCAATTTGCTTTTTATCATATAATAATGTCTTGATGGACATTACTTATTAGTTCACATGGATCAATTTCATCTTTTAAAGGTTGCATATATTTTTTTGTATCTGTATTCAACAATTTACTTAACCAGCACTCTGTTGCATTATGTTTTTTCCCTATTGCTTACAATTTCAGTGTTTTTTAGTGTTTTGCTATTATAAATAATACTGACATAAATGCAACATGATTTCAAAGATAAGCAATAAATCATTTGGCAGAGTCATATGTCCTAGAACAATTCTGGGTCCTCACCTTCAGAGATAACCCTAAAATCTTAGAATCTGCTTATGGATGAGTTTATTATATTTCATTTGGATTTTTTAAAAATAACCGTACTACAGTTGAAATTTGATGAATTTTTGGAGTGCATTATCAAATCCAGCAATTGAGGTCCAATGTAATCTGGAATTGAACAGATTCTCAGTCAAATATACTTTATTCTAGAAACCTAGAAAACATTCTCTGGTTTAGACTGTAGTGTCAGCCACTTAAGCTCTTTTCTTGTGTCTGTTGCTTTTCCTCCTGAGTCCATAGGTTATCTGTTCATCAACCTCATCCAAATTGGAGGCATTTCTAAGTGAGTCCTGGATTTGTATTAACAATGGATTGAGGAATACTAAAAGAATGACGTATGTGTTGTTAAGGATTTCAGTTCTCAGGGAGAGACTTGAGAGCATTAGGCTGCAGGTTCATTGATTTGGTATGGTTGTTGAATTCCTGCCATCATTGTGATAAGATCCTCTGATCTATATTTAGTGTCAGGCAATCTGTCATGCATGACAAGAAGAAAGGATCATGTCAATAAGAATATCAGATAAGGAGTGATGTTTGTTTTAAGTAAATATAACTATTCATGTCTGCATACTTTGTAGAAATGAGCAGGCCATGGTTTCTGAAGTCACTGTAACTAATGGTCTCTTAAAAATTTCTCAGTATTGGTTCTAGAGGTTTGTTCATTCCACTAATATTTGCTGAGTCCTTACAATGTGCCAAGTACTGTTACAAGTACATGAGATAGATTGAGGATAAAGGAGACATCCCTGGTTCTCATAAACAGGGTAGTAAACATAATCAAGAAGTTAAGTAGAGAGCATGTTAGATGGTAGTAAGTGCATAGAAAGAAAGGTAAGGCAAGGAAGAGGAATACACAATGATAAGTGAAAGATAGAAATTTTAAGTAGGTGGGCTATAGGGTGCCTTGTTGAAAAAGTAGATTTGAGTAGAGATTTGAAGGTAGTGAGGGAGCCAGTCATGGGGCTATCAGGGTGAAAAAGATTCCAGATGGAGGGAACCAAAGGCAGAAGGCCCTGAGGCAAGAGCACCTGTGGCCTGTGAGGACCAACGAGAGGGCCAGCATGTGGAACAGAGTGAACAGGCAGATTGTGACTGTAGATTCGGTCTGAGAAGAATGGGCCCAAAATCAGGTATGTCCTCACAGGTCAAAATACAATTTTGGCTTTTACTCTGGGTGAGCTAGAAAGGCACTGGAGAATTTTGAGAGTGGTGACATGATCTGACTTTTAGTAATATCCTAATAGAATCATTGTGAACAGTCCGTTGAGGAGGGTGGAAGGGGAGACCAATGAGGAGGTTACCACAGATAAGGAAGAGTGGTTATAGCTTGGACCAAGGTCATGGCAGTGAAGGTGATGAAAAGCGGTTGAGTTTTGGATATATATTTAAGGCCTTGGTTTTCAACCAGTGGTGATTTTTCCCTAGGTGGGGCACTTGGCAATATCTGGAAATATTTCTGATTGTCACAACTGGGGTATGCTACTGCAATTTGTGAGTAGAAGCCAGGGATGCTGCTAATCATCCTGTGCATAGGACAGCATCCCACAACAGAGAATTGTCAGGTCCCAAAACATCAGTAGTGTCAGATTGAGAAACCCTGATTTAAGGTAAAACCATCAGGATTTCCTGATGTTTGTATGGGGGGACATACACAGGG